TTTCTGATAAGGAAATTTCTGGAAGAATATTATTTTGCATAGTTTCGTGCGTATCTTTTATCTTATCTTTATTATTCCTCAGCAAATCAACAGCATGCGGTATAACGAGTGCAATTGCATTTAAACATTCTTTTGCAGCTTTCGGTGATCCCGGTAAATTTATAATCAATGTTTTATCTCGTATTCCACATACAGCTCTTCATAACACACATTTAAAGTATATATTTAACAGTTTTAAAAAAATGTAAATAAATATTTAAAAATATTTAACAATAATTAACAATATTTATCAATATTTTTAAATAAAAGTTAGAAATAGAAATAAATTAAAAATATCTATTACATAAACAATTCTTTAAAAATTTTTACAATTAAAATATTAAAATTCTTCTTTAAAAATTTTTACAATTAAAATATTAAAATTCTTCTTTAAAAATTTTTACAATTAAAATATTAAAAATCAAAAATAATAATAATATTTATTATAAAATTAATATCTGTTTCTTATAATTAATACATAAGACAAAAATTTTATTCCAAATAACAAATTTTCCATAATCTTTTAATGAGTTAATGTACTGTAATAAACTGTAATATAAAATATGAAAGCAATATAAATTAATATAATAATTTTACCTAGACAGCATAGCCATTGGAGTAATTTTTAAATTAGACATTAGCATAGCTGCAACTATTCCAGAAGCTTCTTTTTGAATAACTTGTTTCGTTGCTTCTGGAGTTACATCTCTTCTAGAAAATCCTGTGCCACCAATTGTAAGAATTACATCTAATTTTCTACTATCACTCCAAGAAATTAAAAAATCCTATATAATATATAAATATATAATGTATCTATATAATTATAAAATTTTATATTAAATAGTTACTTAACTATAAACTAAAAAATATATATGAAAGAAATTACTTTTATCATAAATTCTTCATCAGGAATGATACTTTTATGATGTATTTGACCTTTTAAAATCTTTCCAATATTAGAGTTTTCATCCTTAATGCATTGCTCTATTTCAGGACCACTTTTATCTTTATCTTCATTTTTGTAACAGCTATCACTAACTAATGACAAAATTTATAAATTTTATTGAATATTATTGAAAATAAAATATAATCACAAAATTAAATGAAATGTTATTTGATAAAAACATATGGCATGATCTTTTATTTACTATTTTGTAATAATAATAAAAATTACAGAATATTTATTATAAATAAATTACTTTACAATATATTATTAAAACAAAATAACAACATAATTTGTAATTAAAATTTTAAAAAATTGTAAAATGTAATAAAAATAGCTACCTGTTAATAATCCAAATCTTATTGAATCCATTCTTTTATACAATTATTTCCACGTAGATATGTATTTGTTTGATAATGCTAAAATTATGTATGATAACACGAAATTAATAAAATTGGTATATAATACAATGATTATAATTTCAATAGATAATTATAAAAAATTAAAATAGAAATTTAAATAAATTGTTAATATATACACATATTTATGTTTTAACTTTGGAAACATATAACTTTGCAAACTTACGATTTATTTTTTAAAGATAAATAAGACTTATCATTCAGTCTTACCAATCTTACGTATTATTCAAGTTAACATTAACGCATGCTCCATTGTATAACGTAAATTCATTAATAGTCATACTTATTAAGTATTAAAAATTATGTATAAAAACAATTTTATTGAGTATTATCATTTATTTTAGCAAACAAAATATACGATTGTTAAAAAAATAAAAATCAAGATGCTATTTAGCTAAAAATATGTAAATAAAAATACAATGTAAATATACATAATAATCCGTATATAGACACACATATACATACACATATATTAGTTTTACTGTCATTTACATAAGAAATGAAATTGATCAATAGACGTATAATTTATTAAATTTAATGTTACAATATTATAATATAATCACAGACGAGATATATGAATAGACTACGCATCCAATGTATTCTTTTGGTCATGATAGTAAGGTCCTGGAACCTTACCATTTTCGTATCATATCCTGTTTTACCGATTTTGCGACCGCAGCACTACTAGTGGCGAAAATTAAAAAATTATGAACTTAAAATTAAAAGAATATGAACAGTGCTGCCACATCTGTTTCTGAATGTAATGGATGATTGAATGTAAACAGCGAATAATGGAAATTGAGTTGAAAACTTTAGTATCGTATACTTATTTTAAAAATAAAAATTTGCCCAAATTATTGGAATAATAATTCGCGGGTAATCAATACTTCGGGTCGAATCGGATAATCTTGGTTGAGTTCGGGCGGATTCGGAAACATACGAAAAATCCTCTAACTCGCTTGTTTTGTTCGTTTAACTATTTCATCGAGTTGACAGACAGAACACTAACAGAAATGTGGCAACCATGTGAGACTTTTAGGCTTGGCAACTATGCTTTCATCGGAAAATCTGAAACTTGCCTGTATCCCTCGCTTTTCTTTTGTCATTATGCACAACAACGAAGGCGAAGTGGGTGAGTACTTCCTCATCGATTTCGGTGATTTTTTAACGTATTGTGAAGGTATTTTGAACAGTTTTTTACTTATAACGTATATGTTGGACTTAATTCGTTAGAAGAAAGGATCGTTCGCGATTTCTAAATGATATTTAAGGATCGTTGAAATCAATGAAAGAGTAGTTAATCTGCAATTTCACCGGCAATCAGAATGGAGGAAAATACGAATGAGCAATGTTTAAACTCAAAAATTTTTAATACTAACATATATATCATTAAGTCACTCATACTACATATTTTTATTAATAATTTATAATTTACAATAAATGATTTTGGCCGTCGAAAATGCAACTCAGTGAGTTCGTCTTAACAAATAACATCGTACTATAAAAAAAGAAAATATATATGGTATTGTTTAAAAAAATAAATTTGATTTTGAAATTTCGAAACGGATGAATTTTGCAAGAAATAATTAACAACACATAATGTGCTTCTTTATTGCAAACAATATTTGCAGAAATAGTTTATTGATAAGTTCAAATTTTCATAAAATCGAGTTTACGGGTTAAAGATAATTCATTCAGAATTTACAAATTGGTAAATAAAAAGACGGCATATCTAATTATGTTGTTCATAAAAATATCATGTTTCAATCAATTTTTTTCTAATACTTTTAAATAGATAACTAATACTTTTTGTCTAATACTTTTAAATAGATGTTAATAGTCAAATATGTACTAAAGTTTTCAACCCAATTTCCATTAATCGCTGTTTTAAATTCGCTATTTACATTTCTTCATCGATGAGGTACCATTCAATTCAATAAATAATTTTCAAAAAACAGATGTGGCAGCACTGTTCATATTTTTTTAATTTCAATTTTCGCCACTAGTAGTGCTGTAGTCGCAAAATCGGTAAGATAGGATGTGACACGAAAATGGTACGATTTTAAAGACCGTATTACCATGGCCGAAAAAATACATTGGATGCGTAGTCTATTCATGTACCTTGTCTGTGGTTTAGCCAATAAGTTGGCAACTTGGTTGTTTGATGCAGTTGTGAATCTAAGAGAGGGAGTTAATAGCCAAGTGAATAGTGCATTGCGTTACGTACTAAGTCGCAGTGGCGGTAGTGCAACGAAAGGTGTAATTGAGATATTTTTGAAGATTTGCAATTGTGTTAGCTTGTGAAATTTCTACAGTAAAATTTACCTTCATACGTTACAAGAATTCTTGTTGATCTTGGTAATATTTTGATAATTAGTTTCTATTTATTTATAAATATTAACCATAACATATGAGAAAAAGAGTTTATTAATAGTGACTAAGTAAATGATTTTGGCCTACTTATACGTAAAAAATTCAAGATGGGAGGCACGACCACACACCCTTCAGTTTAACCAATCAGAAAGCAAGTTCTTAAGGCTAATAACCTTTGACTTCAATTTTATTTATACAAAAAAAACAGTACATATAATAAAAAGTGTACTTTTCTTTGAAAAGAGAACATAATTATTTTACGCTATAAAGTTTTTGTAATCTGTGTAAAAATACGTGTCACATACTGCCTTTTGTTTTATAATATGTTAAATAACTTTTATGATACATAAAATTTAACAATATTATTTATTACATGTAACAAATTTTACACTCCTCAATAAGTTAGATTAAAAATGCTTTTGGAAGATTACTTATATTTTCAATATTGCGTACAGAATATTATAAAATAATTTGTATCCGTGTCCATTACAACATTATTAATATTTCATTTTATATTTTTAATTTATACATTTTACGAATTCGACACTACTATTATATTATATTATATTATATTACTATTATATTATATTATATTAAAACAATATCAAAAAAACAGCATAATGCATGTAATATTTACAAAAATATATTTATTTTCTTTATATGTTTATATTTTTAATATTTGAAATTCTACTTTGAAATTTGTGTTCTGTTTTGAAATAAATTCGATAGATTTATTTACCGATGAATCGATATATATATCATTTAATTTTTATAAATATTATATTATAATTATCTAAACATTGATAATAATTTTATTAAAAAGTGATCATAATTAAAAATTAATACTTTGTTTTTATAATAATAATTAATATTTATTTATAAATTTGTTCCTCGCAAACTGCTTGTTCATCAATCGTAACAACTTCATTTAACTCGTCTTGTCGAATACATTAACTTTCCTCTTACCATTTTTTGTGAAAATTCTTTTGAATTAACTGCAAACTTCCAGCATTATACTGTGCGTTGTTGGAAAGTGTGGGATGATAGGACAAAGAAAATAGTTCCTTCATCGGTACAGCTGTGCTTTATAATTTTGTATTAGGATTAGTCATCCAATATCTAAATATTTTTAACACCACCTATTAATTCACTGGTTTCTGCACATTAGTTGACATTATTCTGTACTCAAAAATAGCCGCTTGTTGTTTTTAGTTATAAAATTATGTATGTAACTTTACCTTTATTGTTTAAAGTACATATTTAGAATACAATTTAGAAAAGAAATTACACTCTATTTGTAAAGAATGTTTATAAAAAATAATGAAGAAAAAAGTTAGTGTATTCGACAAGACGAATCGAATAATTACATATCAGAATTACATAGCAGAACAGGCCATTTGCTAAAATTCTTTCTAGAAATTCTATAGAAATTCTTTATTAGTAACTCCAATATATGCGAAATTTGTTTATCATTTTACTTATTTTGAAGAGTTGAACTTTTAATATATATATATACAATAATTCACATTAATATTCTGATACTAAATATTTAAATTGTTACAATTTCATAAAACAAAATTGTACAATAAATCTAGACACATTTCAAAGCTTGAAGCCTCTACTTTCAAAACCTATCATTTATTATATTCTGAAATGTTTTTATATCATATCATACCCATTTAAGAGGTAAAAAATGAAAACACTTCTCGAAAATGCAATAAATGTGACAAAATATTGAAAACTGTGATCATAACTGAGTCAGCAATAGATTTGAAGATTAAAATCGTAATCGTTGTTATGTTCATTTTTATCTTGAATTCAAAGTTTAATAAGTTGGCAAAAAATATCATGCAGTAAGTTTTGAGAGAACGTTTTATATGGAAGACTTCAATTTTCAAATTTACTCAATCATGAAAAAAATTGTTCAATGTTTCTGTGTACTATAACAGTTTATAGCATTTCGTAGCAAGAAAAATGTCTTCACTTTTTTACGCATTACATAATGTAAAAACATTTTAGAATAAAATGAATAGCGCGTTTTGAAAGTAGAGGCTTCAAGCTTTAAATGAAGATGTCCAGAAATTCTAACAATTTAAATATTTAATTCGAGTATTAATGAATAACTGAATATGTATACAGAATGTCTCATTTAAATATGACCCTTGACTATCTTTATTAAATGTAAGGACGCAAAAAAATTTTATTTTATATATAATTTAAATGACATTAAGTGGCTAATACCTTGTACTCATTTTTCAAAAGTTGTCTTTCTTCCAAAATTTTCAAAGTCATCGATATTTTTTTTTCTTAAATAAATAGATGTGTAACGTAACTATCAAAAGACCAATATCTGGAAAAAATATTTTTTTCCCTAAGATCATTCTTTTTTGGAAGTTTTCAAAATCATTGATGTTTCTTTATCTATAATTTCATATAATCTTTTTATTGCATTGTAAAGTAAATAAAAAAATACATGTATAATAATGTGATCTTGAAATGATTTTGATTTTTAAATATTAAAGATTTATGTAATTATGTCTATTAAAATCATTAAAATACACATTCATTTCAAGAGGCAACAATTAAGAATTGTCATTGAGCAGATAATTATAGCAAAAAATAGATAATTAAGATAAATATTATTAGCAGTATTAATTGTTAAATATTCATTAACATTGTGATAATAACGTTTATATTAATAAACACTTAACCTTGAGGGTGAGATAATTAAGTGCTGGATAATTAAATGCATATATCAGGTTATATAACTGGATTATGAAGTGATAAAAAC